CTCCCATGACTGGACAGTTTTTTGATTTCACTACTCAAGTCAAAGAGGTTGCTTCTGAATATCAGTCTATGCACTGCGTCATCAATGGAGAAACACCAACTAGTTGAAAAATGTCATCAAAACTTAACATTTTTCAGGGTGTGATTAAAACTTCCAATCACATTAAAGCGCATTCCTTTAACTTACATCTGTTTATGCAGCTCTGAGAAAATGGGTGACATCATACCCATTGTCTCATGCACAGAAATGAAACAGCTTTATGAATGTTGTGTACCCATAGTTTTTGAGTTTTACAAGCTACTCCAGAGATTTCTTTTGGGAAAATAGTTGTCATTGGCAGAATATTTCAGTGACATAGAATAGTTGCAAAACTTGCTTATTCATGTGACATATTTAACCTGCTCCGTAATCTCAATCAGTCAGTTCAAGGGAGAATAAGAACCATGTTAAAATCAGCAGATAAAGTGGCTACATTCAAAGCCAAAGTACAGTTATGGGAGTAGCAAGTGAACATTGGGATTTTTGATGTTTTAAACATTAGCAGAGATGCCAGGTCCTTCTTTCTCCCAGCTGGTGCATGATTACTTTTTTTTTTTTTTTTTTTGTACCAAGGATCAAACTCATGACCTCATGCTTACCAGGCAGGTGCTTGTGCCACTGAGCTAAATCCCCAGCCCTTACTGCATAATTATTTATCTCAGCTTTCAAGAGTTTCCACTCTTTTGCTCCTTTGCCTTTGCTGTCTTTAACCACCATGAATGATTCGTCCTCTGCCATGCCACCCTGCTTTGGAGCCAGCTGATTATGGAATGAAACCTCTACAAACTGAGCTAAATAAATCTTTCTCTCTTTAACTCTGGGTGTGTCTCAGCAATGAGAAAAAAGTAACCAGTACAAAATTTGTTACCAGAGAAGTGGGGTCATTACTGTGACTATCCCTTACCATGTGGTTCAGGAGTCTGGGAATGGCCTGTGAGAAGAATTTGGAAAGGTTCAGAGATGCCAACTGAAAAAGCACAGCTGGAATGCTTTAGGCTGTTCTGTGGGGGAGATTCTTGTCAGAACTCAGGAAACCCAAAGCCTGATAGAAATCCTGCAGGCTCAGGAGGTTTCTTCTGGGAAGAAGAAATGCATTGGTTGTTGGGCTCTAGACAATGTGTGTTATGGCGTGGAAGAAAGTTTGTCTGCATTTTGCTCCTTTCCAGAGACTGCCTGAGACTAGTTAATTAATCTGGCAGAAGCAATTTCAAGGCAGTCGAATGCTGACGTGGTGGCATGGCTACTATTGGGGGCTTTTAGCCAAATTTATGTTGTGAACCAAGAGCAAAGAGCTCAGCAGAATGATTTAAACTGTTGTGAGTTTGGCCAGGAAGGAAACTCCAGTAAAGCTGTGGACTGCACAGATAGAGCAGAGGAGATCTTGATTGCTGCATAGGAACAGGAGAATATAAAAGATGGCCTGGAGGCTGGGGATTGATCTCAGCAGCATAAGCGCCGATCCCTGGTACCTATAAAAAGGAAAAAGACAAAAAAGACAAAAAAAAAGATGGCCTGAGGGCATCACAAGAAGCCTCAGGACTCTACCCTTTGTAGTCTCAAAATTGCAAAAACTAAAGACTTTGCTCTGAGACCGGGGATATAGTTCAGCAGCACAGTGCCTGCCTGGCAAGCACAAGGTCCAGAATTTGATGTCCTGAATTTGATTCCCAGTACAAAAAAACAAAAGACTTTGCTTTGACAGAAAAGTTGCAGAGCACTATATTCCCAGAATGGTAGTGGCATGCAAAATTTGTTTCTCAGTATTGGATTCCTCCAAGTGTTCAGCAATGCAGGCACTCAAACCCTATAGCTAAAAGACAGGGAAGTCTGATTACTGCTTCAATTGGCAGCAGATCTTGGCATCATCCACATGGTGCAGTTTTTAGATGCATACAGAATGGAAGAGTTGTGGTCTCAGGGAGGCTTCCCCACAGATTTCAGAAGGCCTGGGAAACCAGGCAGTATGCCCCTAAGAGGACAGGGCATGAAGCTGTGAGTGAGAATCTAAAGGAAGAGTGGAGAAGTTTGGAGAATCCAGGAACATGGATCATCTAAAGAAAATTGCAAGGAGGGAGCAGAGAAGGCCTACAAGAGAAGCTATGGAAGTTACAACCACTATTACAGAAGTTACAGAGCCACCCAACCCCTTTGGGGTTCACAACTTGCCTCAGATTGCCTCAAATGCTACACATGGAATTATAGAATTTAATGTTTGCCTTGCTGGATTTTTTACTTGTTTTGGTCTCATTCTTTTGTATCCCCATTTGTAGCTTTTAGAATGAAAAGGTATATTTTGTGCTGTTGAATGTTGGAAGTGTTTAACTTTCTTTTCATTTTTACAGAGGCGGGTAGCTAAGAGTTTGCCTTAAATCTCAGAAGAGACTTGGGACTTGGATTTTTCAGTAATGCTAAGTCAGTTAGAAGTTTGTTAACTCTTTCAGATGAACTAAATGCCTTTTGCATGAAGGAATGTACATGAGTCATTGGGGGACTAGGGGCAGAATGTTATGGTTTGTGTCCAGATATCCCCCCAAAGCCTCATGCAATCACAAGGTGGGGACGGCTTTTTCAGAGGTATCCGAATCTAGAGTTTGTAACTGATTCATAGTGCAATGCTGGAGAAAGAGTGCTGAGATTAAGGCTGGATGATTGCTGAGTCACTCCACTGATGGGATTCACACCACCCTAATCCCAGCAGTTTGGGTAAGATAAAAAGGGAAGAAAGAGATCCCTTTCTGCCATTTTGCTCTTGTTGTTTTTGTTGTCTTCTGCTGCCATGAACTGCTGCCCCTCTGCCATGACACCCTGCCTTGGAGCCAACTGATTATGGACTGAAACCTTTATACACTGTGAACTAAATAAACCTTTCCTCCTTAAAAAATTAGAATTTCAGCATTACTTCTCCACTACCAAGGATCCTAGAACTCAGAAGGAATCGATCCATACCACTTGTGAATAAGCCAGGTGAATTAACTTTGTTTTTGCTAGCAGAGGATTTACTGCTTGAGATCACAAATGATGATGATCTTAAATGTATGTCTGAAACAACTTCAAATCTCCATATATTCTGGATTAAAGTCAAGGCACAGTATCCTGAGATTGCCATAAAATCAATGCAAAGCCTGCTTTCATTTCTTTTCTTTCTTTCTTTTTTTTTTTTTTTTGTCTTTGTCCTTTTAATCGGTACCAGGGATCGAACTCACGACTGCCTGCTTGCAAGGCAGGCGCTTATGTTGCTGAGCTAAATCCCCAGCCCCCCCTGCTTCCATTTCTAACATCCTGTCTTTGTGAGGCAGGGGTTGCTTCAATGACAACAACCAAAAGGAAATTACAGAATAGACAACGTAAGCAATGTACCTTAGTGTTTACAATATGTCTGTGGTGATTGAGTGTCACTCTTTCCTGTCACCCATTAGATGGGTCCATCTGGTTGCAGGAACACAAGCTCAGGCCTCCCATTGATTCTGAATTATTTTATTATATATAATAATAGTAGAAATGAAATCCAGAATAAATGTAGTACAGCTGAATCATCCTGAAGCTAGCCCATCACTGCCATTCATGAAAAATCTATTTTCCATTAAACCAGTTCTTGGTGCCAGAAAGGTCAGGACCACTGTTATTTATGCCTTTTTGATACAGTTCCCCTACTCTGCTTCCCAGCTGCCATAAACTGAACAGCTTTGCTCGTCCACCATGATATTCCTGCCTTGGAACCAGATAACTATGACTGAATTCCCCAAAACTGTGAGCCAAGTTAAATCTTTGCTCCTTTAAGATGTGGATATTGGGTATTGTGTCTCAGTGATGAGAAGAAATGTGACTAATACAAATACAAATTGGGCTGGACTAAAATCTGAAATGTTAATTTTCCCTCAAGGATTTTCAGAACCAAAGAGTTGGTATAATCACTGGTAGCAGCATGTGAAGACTGGGATAATTCTTTTAGGTATGCTTAAGATCAGCAGGAAGAAGATCTGGGCTGTCTGGACAAACAGAAGAGTGAAGCACAAACTTTGCTGTCAGTGAAAGCAGCAAAATGGGAATATAATGAGAAACATAAAAGTATAGAACCTGCCTCTTGAGAGCTGTACTGTTTTGTCTTCTCATTACCTTACCTGAATCTACTCAAACCTATTGCAGTGTAGAATGCATTTAGGACCCTAACCCTTCAGTCCAACATTCCCATCTACCGAACTGATGGTGAGAGGAAAAAGTAGAGATAGGGAAGCAAAGGTTAAAGGGTTTTCAAGGACTTCTATAGCCAGTGTCGTTCTGTCTCTAGATAGCTCTCTGTGTCATCACTGGAAGTAGCTTGAAGTGATTTCTGTTATTTGCAATAAAAGAAGCATCATTGCCAAGCTCTCAGGAGGCTGAGACAGGAGGATTCCCATGAGTTTGAGGCCAGCCTGGGATACATAATGAGTTCAAGGCCAACCTGAACTACATAGGGAAATGCTGTCTGGAAAAAAAAAAAGAGAGAGAGAAAGAATGTGGCTGAAGAGCATAATTTGGGAAGAAAAAATTTTAAGAACACAAGGAGGGGGGCTGGGGGTTTAGCTCAGCGGCATAAGCGCCTGCCTTACAAGCAGGCAGCCGTGAGTTCGATCCCTGGTACCGATAAAAACGAAAAAGACAAAAAAAAAAAAAAAAAACACAAGGAGGGACTGGCCTTGGAATGGAGGATGTAAGGAAGAGTGAGGGGGAGGAAAGAGAATGAAAGAAAAATTAAGATATGTTATATTTTTAAAACCACATCATGGGGTGAGGGGTTTAGCTCAGCAGTGTAAGTGCCTGCCTGGCAAGCATGAGGTCATTAGTTCAATCCCTGGTACCAAAAAAATAAATAAAAAAAGATATTCTAAAAACCACATCATGTACACATGTTATGTTTTGTACACATACCAATTCCCTACAAGGAATATAACTATTAAATACTGCACATATGTACTAATAAAAATAAAAATTAAAAGAGACTTGTAAATAAAGTTCCCATAAACTTATAAAAAATCTGATTTGATTTGTCTGTAACCATGGCAAGAAGTAACTATCAGAACTGTTTACACTAGAACCGGGGATTTAGGTCACTGGCGTAAGTGTCTGCCTGGCAAGCACAAGGTCCTGAGTTTGATCCCCAGTACAGCAAAAAAAAAAAAAAAATTGTTTACACTTGTTGAGTCATTTAATAACTTACCAAAGTGAACATTTTCCCATCAGTGTCAGCCTGGCTGCTGAGTGCCAACCAGTCAGCACAGTCTTATCGGAGTAGCCATCTGCTGTAGAGACGTCTATCTACTTACATCTCTGAAAACTCACCAAACCCTGAACGTCACCTTCCACCAAAATCATACAAGTAAGATGGTTTAGGGTATGCTCTGATGGAGTGACCTAGCAGTTCTCTCTTCTCCTACAGTAAACTGTATGTTTAGTAAATATAACTGGTCCCCTCTGCTTTAAAAATTACTGTTCATCAATCATGCATCCTTTCAGGTTTGAACTAGGGTGTTTATCATTACAGGTGATGGGAAACTCAATTCAAAATAGTTTAAACAATAATAATAAAATGTGTTGTCTCTCACAACTAGAGGTTCAAAGACAGTGCTTGCTTAGGTGTCTCTGTCTTTCTCTATAGGAAATCTTGTTCGTGGCCTGGCTCCTTTCATCATGACAGGATAACTGCCAGATGCTTCTGTGTTTGAGTCCAACAAAAGAAAGAAAACCTTTCCACCTTTCACAGTGAAAAGCTTCCTCCATTTCTGTCTGATTAGACCAACTTACAGACTGACAGCAATCATCTGGATGAAATGGTGTATAGATTAGCATAATCCTTGGCTCCTGCACAAATTGCAGTCAAGAGAGATCATATAATTATGCCTAAACCTGCCTCAAAAACATAATCCTCCTGCCTCAGCCTCCTGAGTAGCTGAGATTATAGACGTGTGCCCCTACACGAAGCATAAATTGATTACATTGAAATTGGATTAAACTAATTGGGATCAACTCTAGAAGTGGAGATAGAATTACTTTCTTCTAAATCATCTGGACTCAGAGGAAAAGTAGATACTGGAACAAAATTAAATTCTCTAGAAAAGAAGAAGGGAGAAATGGTCACTGGGAAAGCTGCCAGCCATACTCAGTGAGCTATTGGACCTTTCCTTCCACAGGTTTGCCCATCGCCATCTTCTACTGAAGATCTTTAGGAGACTAAGTCTCTCTCCAGACCAGGTGGCCAGCTGCATGTTAGCTCTTCTATACCCACAAACATTCACAAACATTTCAACCTGTTACTCTTCCTATATTTTCTCTTCCTTGTTTCCTCTCTTTTCTTTTTCTTTTTTTTTTTTAAACTACTGCTGGGGATTAAATTTAGGGCCTTCATACTGAACTACATCCCTAGACCTTTTTATTATTTAAGTTTTGAGACTGAGTCTGGCTATGTCACTACACTGCCAAGATGGGGCTTGAATTGTGGAATCGCAAGTGTGTAGCACCAGCTGCCTTTCATTCTTTCCATCCTGGAGCTCAAACCCAAGGCTTGTGCATGCTCGGCAATTGCTCTACCACTGAGCTCCTTTCTGTATTTTCTAATGCTGTATGTGATGCATATTACCATACATCTATCCATCCATTCTTCCACATAACCTCCCGACACTTAACTCCCTGAGCAAATAAACTAGTGGTCATTCTCTCTTTCCTTTCTTCTTTTTTCTTACTGGTACTGGAGAGCAAACCTAGAGGCTTGTGCTTTTTTTTTTTTTGGTCTTTTTCGTTTTTATCGGTACCAGCGATTGAACTCACGACTACACACTTGTAAGGCAGGCGCTTATGCCACTGAGCTAAATCCCCAGCCCCAAGCCTTGTGCATGTTAAGCGAACTACTCTCTCAGCTCTCCTTCCTTTTTAATGCCGGTCCATCTCCGGTCATGTGATTCTCCTTCCTGAATATAATTCACACTCCTTCTCTTCTCTACTTTCTACATCAGCCTCTGTTTATAAAAACTTACTATTTGCTATTCCTCCTCCATTCTAAACCCTCTCAAATGGTCTTTTATATATTATCAACAGAGGCGACTCTAAAAAATCAATCTGATTCCATCACTCCTTAAAAGATTTTGATGACTTCTCACCTACAGGATAAAATCCAAGCTGATTTGCCGGGCTAAGGTCCTCATAACCTCACACTTGGCTTCTCCTCCCATCCCTCCTGCTCTTGCTTGGGGTGCACACAGAGTCATGCTAACCATGCTGACTGGCTTGAATTTTCCCAGGCACTGCATGACTCAGGTCCCTCAACACAGTACTGAAGCTGAACTCACAGCTTTCATACTGAGCTACATCTCCGGCCTTTTAGTTTTTATTTTGAGACAAAGTCTTTCTAAGTCACTAAATTGACCAGGATAGGCCCAAAATTGTAATCCTCCTGCCTCAATCTTCCAGAGTGCAGTGATTACAGGTGTGTGCCACCATGTCTACCCATGTCTTTTTTTTTTCTTTTCTCAAAATGCATTTTATTTCAAGGAGAAAAAGAGAAAAAAGAAGAAAAACCCCAAAACTAAATTTCAAAATACATCAATCAGGGCTGCCCTCATGTCTTTAATAGAATTGTTCCGTCCACCTGACATGCCATTTCCCTGGGCAAATGTCTAGTACTTTTTCAGAATCAATTCCAAAAGTCATCTCTGTGATCATCACAAGTAAAATTAAATACTTCATCCTTTGAGCACCTTCTGGACTCATTAAATCTTTTACATAGTAAATTTCTATACTGTATTTATGAAAAAGAATTTATACTTTTACTTGTCCTTCCTAACGGTGAGCTCCTTGAGGAAAGGAATTCTGCTTTCATTCTCTTTCTATAGGGGCTGGAGATTTAGCTCAGTGGCATAGGTGCCTGCCTGGCAAGCACAAGGTCCTGAGCTTGATTCCCAGTATTGCAAAAAAAAGAAAGAAAGAAAGAAAAAACTCATTTTCTTTCTGTATCCCATGTCTGCATAGTGTGGGTCGCTTACTTTTATATGAAGATATGAAAAGAATTGATCAGGAATATGTAAATTTTAGTAACTTTTGCATAAAGATAGGAAAGATTAGTTGATCAGGGATATATAAGCTGTAATATAGACCCACTGCCAGATGTCAAGTATAATAAAATACCTCACTAAGGATTTAACTAGTGGTCTCACTACTGAAGACTTGGTTTCTGCTTGGTCTTAGAAGAGCAACCTTAGAAAGAGCCTTGTCTCATCTTCAAGCATGGGAGTTACTGAAATTTGAATCTCTCCCTCAAAAACTCACATTGAAATTTTCGGGGCTGGAGGTTTAGCTCAGTGGCATAAGCACCTGCCTTGCAAGCAGGCAGTCATGAGTTCGATCCCCGGTACTGATAAAAAGGAAAAAGACAAAAAAAAAAAAAAAAAAAAAAAGAAATTTTCAATGGTGGGCCCTTGAATAGGTCACAAGTGTCCTTTCCTTGTGAGTGGATAAATGCAGTTATCATGGCAGTAGTTTCCTAAGATGAGTTCAGCCCAGTTTCCTTTCACTGTCCACACACGCTTGCTCCACTCTGTTATGACACAGGGTATCTGTCCACCCTGTTATGAAGGGCCCTTGTTAACTGCCAGCACTAAATTCTCAGAATTCCTAGCCTCTGCAACTGAGAGGCAAATTACCTTCAATTGTTTATAAACTACTTGGTCTGTGGCATTCTGTTATACTAGCAGAAAACTGACCAAGATAGGATGCATTTGCCACTCCTGTTTTGGAATGATAAACACCTTGGTGTCTGAAATGAAAACCAATATAGAGGACAGGGATGTGGGCATACACTGAGCCACAGCCTAGATGGCACCCAGAGTTAGCACAGTCTAGAGCAAATGGATGCAGCACAGGGTCATCCTGTTTTAGAGGAGTGCATTCCAGGATTAGGGGCTGGTGAATATAGGATATGGATATGCAGGTGGACCAGTGATGCTGGCCTAAGGGGGAGAATAGATGCTTCAATGAAACTAACGGAGAGACAGCAATGTGGTCTGGAAGCCACCAGGGCTGTGTCCCTGCATCTTATTGCATTTTTTTCATTGTCCATTTGTTTTCATTGTAGAGTAATAATCCATTGTAGAAATAGGCCACAATCTGCTTATCTATTCACTTGTTGTCTTTTTATGACAGGGCCTTGTTATGTAGTTCAGGCTGCCCTTGAACTCATTTTGTAACCCAGCTTGGCCTTAACTTGTAGCAGTTTTACTGCTGAGATTAGAGGTATGCACCACCACACCCAGTTTATATGAATTTTTGAGAGAGAAATAGTCTGTTAAAAAGTGTCTGCCTCAGGGCTGGGGATTTAGCGCAGCGGCATAAGAACCTATCCGGCAAGTACAAGGTTGTGAGTTTGATCCCCAGTACAAAAAAAAAAAAAAGTTTACCTAAGGACATTATACAAGTATTTTAATACTAAATGTATTGAGACATAATGAGACTAATACGAGTTACTTTTGGCCTCTACAATTACAAGAGGTGCTCAGAGTGGTGGCCAGTCTCTTCCACTTATTAGTATGGTGAACTGCTGAAAATATGCATGCATTTTTTGAGCTGTCTCTTTTTCTCTGTCTCTTGCTCTCTCTCTCTCTCTCTCTCTCTCTATATATATATATATATATATATATATGCTATATATATGTGTTTAATATGCACACACATATATGTGCATGTACATACAACTATGTTATGATTTTGATTAGCATTACATTGAATCTACAATTATAAGAGTTGATATCTTAATATGTTATGAATCCCAGCATTCTGAGGCAGGAGGATCACAAGTTTATGTTCAAATTCAGTCTGTGCAGTTTAGCAAAGTCCTGTCTCAAAAAAGAAAGAAAGAACCAGTAGTTCAGTGCAAAGATGCTGGATTCAGTCCACAGCATTGCTGCACACACACACAAAGCATATTATTGCATCCATCCCCTCACACCCTCATTAACATGCTATACCTCTCCATTATTCAGGTCTTCTTTAATTTTTTCAGCAATGCTTTAAATTTTTAAGTATTCTGGTATTGGGCATCTTTTGTCATACTTACCCCTCAGAATTTTAATTTTTTTTTCCTTTTTTATCGGTACCGGGGATTGAACTCACGACTGCCTGCTTACAAGGCCGGTGCTTATGCCGCTGAGCTAAATCCTCAGCCACTAGAATTTTAATTTTTTTTGATGTTCTGCTAGTTTTAATCTGGAAAGTAAAAAACATGTATCATTCTCATTGTGTTTTTTTTTTTTTTTTTTCTGTAAATCTAAAACTATTCCAGGGGCTGGAGATTTAGCTCAGTGGCATAAGCATCTGCCTGGCAAGCGTGAGGTTGTGAGTTCAATCCCCAGTACAGAAAAAAACTATTCCAATATATGAAGTTAAAGAGGGGCTAGGCTGGGGGGTGAGGGAGGGGACGGTACCCAAGACTGGAGGGGGGGGTCCTTTTTGTGCAAGGCAGACAGACACCGTCATCTACCACTGCAGGGCCTGCAAGTCTGACTGAAATGGAAACTAGCACTAGTATAGCATGGCTTAAGAGGGCAATGTGAATTGAGGAACAGGAAAAGTATTTTTAGGACTCAAGTTCCTCCTCCTCTGTCAGGAGCTGTGAATGGAGACCATCTCTAGGCAGGTTGTCAACGTCCCTCTGTCTACACGTTGGTACGATTTCTGTCTTCAGCCTTGGAGACCCCAAAGGCAGGGGCTGGAGCTCCTGATGGCCAAGAAGGAGCAAGGGATAGTGTGTGGAAAGAAATGCCTATGGAGTTCATGATGTGAATACAACAGGGTCATCGTCACGTCCGGGTATGTGACGTGAGCAGGAGAGGATTATGGTTAATGTAGGCAGAGGCATTGTGCCCATAACGGAGAGAGAGAGGCAGGGAGGCAGCAATGGGGCTGTCTCGTGGCTCCCTACAGGTACATACATTATGCATTGTCATCCTGGCCCAGCTTCTTTTCTTGACTCCAAGAGAAGATCAGGCAAACACACTGAAACTATCTTTTTTTTTTTTTTTTTTTTTTTGGTGTTTTTCATTTTTATCCGTACCAGGGATCGAACTCACGACTGTCTGCTTGCAAGGCAGGTGCTCATGCCGCTGAGCTAAACCCCCAGCCCCCCACACTGAAACTATCTTAACTCCTAGGCTGGCATGGTGATTGTGGGTGGGCAGAATGGTAGACATAGCCCTGAGAGGACTAACTAGCACCAAGCCACACAGGAACAGGCAGTGGTCTTCATAAGACTTGGGCTCGACACTGCCTATTAACTACCCTTTCCATACTCATCCCTGCCCAAGAATCCCAGACACCTGGCACCCAGCCTGGGATCTCTCCCTTTTTGGGTTCCTCATATGGGTTCATCAATTCCAGTGCTAATTTATTGTCCCAAAGGGAGTCTCAGCTTCTTCAGAACCCCAAGAGACCTGAATGTCAAACATTAGTTTACTTAGCCAGCAGAGGGCAAGGTGTTGCTTAGAATCTTTGAAAGAAATTTTGCTGTTTTTGTGTGTGTGCCAGGGATTGAACTCACAACCTCTTGATTGCCAGGCAGATGCTTGTGCCCCCGCGCTAAATCTTCAGCCCCCAGTCTTACTCTTTTACACAATGCACTTCCCACAGTCTCTTTTCCCCATCGCAGGCCCTGCAATTGACCGAGACTTGACAGAGATGTGAGTATGAAAGGGAGAGCTAGGGGGCTGGGGATTTAGCTCAGCAGCATAACACCTGCCTTGCAAGCAGGCAGTCGTCAGTTCGACCGATAAAAAGGAAAAAGAAAGAAAGAAAGGGAGAGCTACTGAGGTACTTGTCACAGTTGGGACAGACTGTAGAGAGACAGGCTGAAGTGTGGCAAGGGCACATCACAGATCCAGAGCTCTAAAATGGGGCTCAGGAAGTGGAGGATAGAGTGGGACTACCTGAACCATCAGACCAGAGCAGGGAAGGTGAGGCAGCAGCAGGGGTGGTGAGGTTCACACAAACTGAGTCCAGGTCCAGGCCCAGGCCCAGGCCCATCCAGATGCTCACAGGCCCAGTGTTCGCAGTGGGGAGGGAACAGGAAGCTGTGACTTCCTCTCTCTCCTTCCCCTCCCTATTCTTAGCCACAGGGTCACTTGCTGCTGAGATGAATTCCAACCTGCTTTAGCTGGCACAGTTCCCGGGGCATGACGACAATAGCTGCTCAATGTCTTGCTACCTTCCACCACAAACACTCCAGATTTCTTTGAAATAAGTCATTGCAAAGACATAAAAAATGCTGTCTTGAAACGTGTTATGCACATGTACCAGCTCCCCATGATGAATGTAATCACATATACACATGTACTGCACTTAGGTACTAAGAAAAACTTATTAAGAAGTACCATTTCATGTATATTATTTCATCACAGCGATTCTGTGAAGCAGACTTTTTATCAGAATTTTTCACAATTTAATTTTATTTTGGTGCTGGGAATCAAACCCCAGGGCCTGACACATGGTAAGCACTGACTACAAATTTTAGAGACTAGGTCTTTCTATACTGCCCAGGCTGTCCTTGAATTCCCAGACTCAAATGATGCCACTGTCCTGTTTTCCAAGTAGCTGGAATTGCAGGTGGATTTGTCACCACTGGCTCTAACTCTTGAAGCTTTGAGGCAAGGAAATAGCAACTCAGCCAACGCCATGCAGCCAGTGAGCAGCAGTGTGGGACTCTGAGCCTCTGCTCCTTTCTCTGTAAAACCCTGGTTCTGGTTTCCTGCCTGTGACCCCCTCCAACCCCACCCCCGGGGCCCAAGGGAACCAGCAGGGGAGCTCCAGTTTGGTTGCGGTCATCCCTTTCTTATTAGTATACATGCTGCTGAAGCAACCACTGGGTGTGGAGTTAGGGAGCATCTGGCTCTCACCCTGTGGTGGAGCCTGGGGGCTGCTCTCTGCAGTAGGATAACTCCTCCTGTTTCCTTTCTGCTGTGCTGAGTCCCTCTTAAATATGCACATGGACATGCAGAGACTCATCCCCGGCTGTTTGGGTCTGTTCTTGCCCTGCCCACTCACCACCAATTCCACCCAGCAGGGAAGGGACAGGCAGTCCATCCATACCCCTCCCTCCAAGTGTGGGCGTGAGCACACAGCCAGAGGCCCCTGAAAAGTACACAGCCCCAGAGCCTCCTGCCGAGAGCCTGCCGTGGCACCTGCCAGTCTGGCAGGTACCTGCTGGCCCCTCCACCCCGCACCACCAACCTCTGCTGCTCTGCAATGCCCACATCCAATATCTCGGTCCCACTGCCTATGTTCTTCTGGATCAATGGCTCTGGAGGTGGGGTGTTGGGTGCTGATGATGCCACACTGCCTGTTGAATTCTTCGCCCTGAGAATCATGGTGGCCCTGGCCTATGGGCTAGTGGGGGCCATCGGCTTGCTGGGGAACTTGGCTGTGCTGTGGGTGCTGGGTAACTGTGGTGCCCGGCGAGTCTCTGGTCCACCTTCTGACACCTTCATCTTCAGCTTGGCTCTGGCAGACCTGGGGTTGGCGCTTACTTTGCCCTTCTGGGCAGCCGAGTCAGCACTGGACTTCCACTGGCCTTTTGGAAGCGCCCTCTGCAAGATGATCCTGACGGCCACCGTCCTCAATGTCTACGCCAGCATCTTCCTCATCACGGCCCTGAGTGTTGCCAGGTACTGGCTCGTGGCCATGGCTGCAGGGCCACGCACCCCCCTCTCACTCTTCTGGGCCCGTGTAGCCACCTTAGCAGTATGGGTGGCAGCAGCCGTGGTGACCTTGCCCACAGCCATCTTTGGGGCTGAGGGTGAGGTATGGGGTGTGCGCCTCTGCCTGCTGCGCTTCCCCAGCAGATACTGGCAGGGGGCCTACCAGCTGCAGAGGGTGATCCTTGCCTTTGTGCTGCCCTTGGCCATAATCACCACCAGCTACCTGCTGCTAGTGACTTTCCTGCGGAGGCGGCAACGGCAGCGGCGGGATAGTAGAGTAGTGGCCCGCTCTGTCCGTATCCTGGTGGCCTGCTTCTTCCTTTGCTGGTTTCCCAACCATGTGGTCACTCTCTGGGGTGTCCTGGTGAAGTTTGACCTGGTGTCCTGGAACAGAACTTTCTACACTGTTCATACCTACATCTTCCCTGTCACTACCTGCCTGGCACACAGCAACAGCTGCCTCAACCCTGTGCTGTACTGTCTGCTGCGGCGAGAGCCACGCCAGGCTCTGGCAGACACCTTCAGGGATCTGCGATCCAGGCTGTGGCCCCAGGGCCCCGGCTGGCTGTAGCAGGTGGTCCTAAAGGAGGTAGGCAGCCCGTGAATACTGAGCACTCCCTAGGAGAGTACCTCTAATGTGCTTGCAAATACGCACAGAGGGACACCTGGTCGAAGGGCAAAGCTACACTGTCTCCTCTTTCTAGGACCTGCCAGGCACAGGATCCACACATCTAGGGAGAGGCTGCCATCTCAGCCAGGCCCATGGAAATTCTGATCTCCAACCACCAACTCTGGATGCAGGGCCCAGGTTGGGGCTGGGTGTGACAAAGCTTAAGTCTCTATTTGGAGGTGGAAAAGAAGCTCAGAATAAACTTCTGGATTACCCACAAATTGTCTGGTCTATTTATTTTTGAGACAGGGTCTCACTAAATTGCCAAGTTGCCAGGCTGTGCTAGAACTTGCAATCCTTCTACCTCTGCTTTCTAGAATGCTGGGATAACAGGTATGTGCCACCACAGTCAGCTCTGTGTCTCCATCTCTTGTCCCAGTTTCATCTCCAATTTAGTATAGAATAATTTTTACTATTTCTGCCTCCTGTAAGAATTTTCAGGATTTATTTCCCTTAGGGGTCTAGAGTAATAGACCCTTTGTTTGTCCCTCTACTCACCTCAAAAACAGGATTTCTTTTCTCCTTTGCTAGAACTAAGGCCAAAACCGCCCTCTTCCCTGGCCATCTCCGTCTTCTCACCATGATAGGTGCTTGATGCCAGCAGCGGCCTCAGTCTCAAAGGTTACCTGCCCTACAAAAAAATGCCAAGTGTGGGATCTTGCTGGAACCCCAGCACCTGCCAGACCCTGGTGCACCTGTGACTCTCCTTAACTGAGGCATTAAACAGAGATGACAAGATAATGCCAAATGGGGTGGTAGGTGGCATGAAGGGAGGTGAGAGATGAAGAAAAGGTCTGGGAGAAGCCGAAGGTAGGGCCACAAAGTGGTTGGTGGTAGTCCTCTTCCCTACACCAAACACTTAGCTCAGTGTACCTCTCACCTCCATGTCAGGCACCTGTATCTTGCGGCAGATTTACCGCTCTATGCTGCAGTGGTCTATTCTGTAAAACGGCCTGTGCCTGAAGATTTCCACATTATTCTCACATTCCATGGAAAATGAAGTAAGGGGGCTGGGAGACTGCAGAAGTAGGGAAGCTGTGAAGTTTTCCTTTGGAATGGTTTTACATAGTCAGGCGTATAATGAAAGTCTTCAGAGTGAACTTCAGGGCTGCCCCTCAAGCATCTCTTGAAGGTTGTATCCAGGGCAGAAGGCGCCTCTGATCATTATAACTCATCTACAATCAAAGTCCTTAGAAGGAACTTTCAGCCAGGCATGGTGGTTTATACCTATAATTCAGCAGTCTGGGAGGCTGAAGCAGAATTGCAAGTTTGAGTCTAGCCTGCGCCATCTAGCAAGACCCAGGTTTAAAGTAATTAAACATGGGGGTGTGGGTCAGTGTGAAGATTGAGTTTAATCCCCAGTACAGGCCCAGTGTAGGGAGCGGGGAGGAGGGAAACAGAAAGGCAGAGAGAAAATGGGTGGAGCTCCCACTTCCACTCTCCCTACCCCCAGCTCTGGCCATCTTGTGACTCAGGATGACACTGGCCACTCAGTGTCCCACAGCTGCACTGCCCCTCTGGAAAGATCACAGGCCTCCAGGCCCCCCTGTCTCACTTCACTGGATTACTGAGGTTCTGAAGAGCCACCCAATTCACAACGTATTAAGCAATGAGAAAGTTAATTAGCCTCTCAATGTTTAATTTCCTTGATTTGACAATGTTTAAACTGGTTCTAAAACTCTGTCTGTTCCCAGCCAATTCAGAAGATGGAAAATCCTCTCCCACCTGTCTCCCTCTTACCACCCCGAGGCTTCTCTGATGGCTCCGGATATTGGCTCCTGCGGGGGCATCTCTGCTTTATGGGAGCCAGAGGTAAATATTGACAAAAACTTCACAGGTTCAAGTCAGAAATGAGTGAAAGGAATAGACCTGCCTTCAGAGATGAGAGGGGGCAAGGAAGGAAGGGCCCAGTCCCAGCAGTGTGCAGGACTGGGTACAGCCAGCTGGGACCTTGGAGCTCCGCTAGAAATGGAGACAAGGTTTTGATGGGAGGCTGGGCCCTGTTTCCTTTGATTATAAGGTCATGGAGTTTTAAACCTACACCAGGAGGGACAGAGGATAAGATCTGAATTCTTCAAAGCAGAATTTGGGAGGCAACAGGATGGTCAAAGATAGAAGAGGGCCCTGACAGGAAGAAGCACACCATAGAAATTGTGGGGTACTTAAAACAGGAGGGAGTGCTGGGCATGGTGGTGCACTCCAGCAATCCTAGCCCTCAGGGGGCTGAGGCAGGAGGGTTGTTGCAAGTTCAAGAATAGCCTGGGCTACAAAGTGAGCACATGGCCAGCCTGCATAGTGAGACCCTGTCTCAAAAAGACAAAAAAAAAAAAAAAAAAAAAAAAAAGACGAGAGTTTTGGTGAAGGAATGGCTTGTCCATACCCTCTGGGATCTGTCTCCAGGTTTCCATTTTGATTCTGAATCCATGAGGGAATGCTGGGAGAATGCAGTCATTTCTCCTGGGCTGGGTTTTGGAGATAAACATACCATTCACTCTTACCAGTCTTCCTCCACCTTACAGGTGTGGTTCTCAGCTGCCACTGGTCAACATGGAGGGCAGCTGCTGAGCCCTGAGCTGGTATGTCTGAAATGGTGTGAATGACACTCTGGTGCTTTTAGGCAGAGCAAAGCAAGCAAAGGAAGCTGGCCCCTTCCTGGTTTGCCCACGCTAGTCCAGCATGCTTTTTGCACCCATGGTTAACATGTGAACCCCTCCCCACCTGGGATTTCCACAAATGAGAAAACATCTTGCAAGAGTGGGTGCTGGCTGCTCCCCATGCAATTTCAATTCCTTATTCTAGCTGGGGTCCTGAACCCCTTTCTTCTCATCTTACCCCAGAGACTCCAATAGCCTGAGACTCTACCTCCCTGCCCTTACAGGCCAAGCACAGGGTTATCAATCAGAAATAAGAAGTGAAACCCCAACCCCCCAAAAGAAAACAAGAACTGAAAACAGCTATCTCTTGCAGACTGGGCAAAGCACAAATGAGCAGCCCTCAGAAGGGGTCATCCCAGGGCTCTGACACTGTGGAGACACCAGGGCAGGTTGGGGCTAGATCTGAAAAGTGACTTCAGGGAGATGGTAACAAGAACTGAGCCAGAGGGGCCAACAGGCAGATGTGACTTCTAAGCACAGTATACAAATAAGATGAAAACAAGTTTTGTATATTGGAGTTTCCATCAGCCACTGGAGCTGAGTGCCACTTCATTTTGCTCTGTATTTTTCAGTAAAAGAGCTACAGTGGGTTCCTTTCCTAGTGCCCTCTCTTGACTGAGGTAGAAACAGGCCTACTGGCAAGAGGAAAAGGCTCCATCAGAGGAACTGAGGTCACCGCCCAGTTCTCTGTCACTACTGCACCACAAATGACAGATATTATAAAACAGCACCTCATAGGGTTTCAGGTCTTTAATTTTCCCTGCTTGGTGTTTTTCTTCTTCTTTTTCTTTTCTTTTTTAAACAATCAAACTGGCAGAAAAATGGCTGGAGCTGGTGGGCATTCTCCATTGACAAATTCTCCAGATTTCAAGTCATGGTCGCTGAGGTGGGAGATAAGGCCAGGGTTTGTAGAGATTTCCCAACCGACCCTAGAACTTTCTCCAAGCAGCTGACAAAGAGGTCAGAATAGGAGCCCTATAACTGCAGAGAGTGGGAGAAGTCAGTCACCCCTGCCCCTTAAATTGAGAGGTGGAAATAGAAGGGTGTGATCTCTAACTGTCTACATCTTCTCTTAAAAATATAAAACACGTGCAGCTGGCTTTGGTACAAAAAAGAAAAGAAAACAACAAAACATCCTGGTCCCTGTGGGTTTTTTCCCTCACCCTCAATAAACCATTATGGCCACCCTAATCTCCACTCCATCAACTCCAGGGAGGAGGCACTCTGCCTGCGTTTCCTGGAGAATGAAGAGAAGGGAGAACAGCAGTGAGAGGGTGAAGGGAGTGGGGAGAGGGACACGACTAGCCCACAGCCCTGCTTACGGGGCAGGAGTGTCCTGTGGCTGCAGTCTTTGTCAAAGGTGGGTATTGCTGGGGACAGTCAGTGGCTGCTAGGGAAGCCTGAATGTACCCCAGTAGTGTAAAAGGACAAGGCCCCCGATCCCTATGGCTTGGTTCCCATGTCCCTGGTCCTTCTAATCTTCCCTCTCCCCCATAACTAATAAACAATAAATAAATAAATCTTCCTAAAGTAGAGGGAAGAAGGCATAACAAATTGGCATCTGTGGTGTAGCTTTTGGATGCCACTGGGGGGGTTGTGACCTAAATCCCCCAGTTTCCTAAATGGCCCCAGGTATCGAAGGATCCCAAGAGCTGGCAAGGACAATCAGCAGTTCTTTCAAATGTTCCCTCATCATTGGCAAACTGGAGTCCCTGGCATTTGCCCCAACAGTAACATTCTTCAGTAGGGCACCAGGTGGGGGAAGGAGTCCCCTTAGGTCTCTGAAGCCAGTGGCTTCCCATCACGGCTCTCTGTCTCCTCTGGGATGTCCTGCATTCTGGTGAAGTCTGAAGGGAACAAGGGAATCCAGTGAGTTAGGGTGTACCTTGGGCACATGCACCTTACACAGACACCTCCCTGTCTCCAGGCTGGGGACCGCAGGGCTATTGGTGGATGAATTCTTGGGTGAGAGGAATGTCCTCCATATAGTCCTTGGCATACTTTGGAAACATACAGACACACAAATGGATTAATCAAATACGGAACAGTGCCAGGGATTTAGCTCAGCGGCACAAGCACCTGCCAGGCAAGCATGAGGGCATGAATTCAATACCTGGTACAAAACAAAAAACAAACAAACAAAAAAACCCAGTTTAAGATTCTAACATGGGGGGCTGGGAATTTAGCTCAGTGGCATAAGCACCTGCCTTGCAAGCAGGCAGTCATGAATTCGATCCCCAATAAAAAAGAAAAAGACAAAAAAAAAAAAAAAAAAAAAAAAAAAGATTCTAACATGGAGTCACTATAGCTGGGTTATTTTGCTTTTCTGAATCAACCATTTGAGGTCTTATTTTACTTTTTCTTTTTTAACTTTAAAAACTGATTTCAGTTTGAAAAGCTGAGCTCAGTGGTACAGTTCTTGCTTATCATATGTGAGGCCCTGGGTTTCATCCTCAACCCTGTACATTAAAAGAAAACAAAACACAAAAGCTAAGCATGGTGGTATACACTTATAATCCCAGCATTTGGGAGACTGAGGTAGGAGGATCACAGCGAGTTCTAGGCCAGCCCAGGCTACAAAGTGAATTCAAGGC